ATTCTGGACCTTCTTTGGGCCACCACGTCCAATCTGCCATCAAGTCCTATCCAGTAGAGAGCAGTACAGCACTGAGGGGCTCGGCCACTTACTAAAGGCGTGACTTTGGGCAAGTTAATTAATCCTTCCATGCCTCAGTTTCTTCATCTGTAAAAGATGGATCATTCTGCTTCCTTCCTCATGAGATTTTTATGCTTAGTCCATACATGTAAAATTCTTAGAACAGCAACTGGCACAGAACGTGTTCGTTACGAGGCTTTTGTCATCTTGACGCCTCCTGAATAGTCCACACGGCCCTCGGCCTCCCTCTGCCCTCTCTTAGTAGCCCTGCCTTAGGTGATGCCTTGTCCAGTCTCCCCTCACCACCACCATCAGCCCATCTCTCGCACTACAGCCAGAGTGTACATCTGGACCACAGGATCACTGTGCCCCCAGATGGAGCCCAGGGATGAGCTCACCTTAGCAGACCCCTGAGGTCTGCCTCATTTTGACTTCAGCATCCCTGGTGACCCCCCTCATCCTCTCCCAGAGGAAACAGGCATTTTAGGCTTCTGCACCTTTGCCTGGGCAGTCCCCACTCCAAAGGCTGACTCCTTCAGAGTTCACATCGGGCATCCCTCCTCCAGGAAGCATCCGAATTACACCTGAGTTACATGCACCTGCTCTGAGCTCCTAAAGCACACGCCTCTAACCCCCAACACAGTTTTCATTTGCTCACTTTTGCATGGGTCACCCACTGGAGGGCTGAAGCTGTCCCCTTGTCTGCATGTTCTGGATGCCTGGCGCAGAGCCTGCCAGGCTTCAGGAAGTTTGGGGGAATGAGTGAATGATCTGTCTGCAATTCCACTAATGGTGGGGTGGGGGAGGGCAATTGTTCTGATAAAGATGTACTTCCCAACTGGGGAAAAAAGGACTAGAAGGACACTGTATTAGGTGGCTTGGTGACACTTGTCTCAGCATGAAGGCATTTCTCATAACTTCAGTAAGGAGTGGAACAACAGGATTTAGAGGGAGGCAGAGAACACATTTGCATATATTCACACTTAACGTCATAGAAAGTCTAAAGGCAAATTTTTACTATTAAGTCCATTTAACTGCTGAGAAAACCGAAATCCAGAGAACTGAAGCTGCCCAAAGCTGCAAAACTGGTCAAAAGGGACAAGAACAATCTCCTGACATTGCTTCTTCTTAATAATAATTATAGCTACCATTTATTAAACACTTCCCAAGGGCCAGGCACTTTGTTTATGTGATATTATAAAGTAGTCATCCCCAATGTCAAGTTGAAGATGAGGAAACTGAGGTTCAGAGCAGGCAGGTGGTGAGCCCCAAATCACCCAGCAGCGGACGAGATGCAGAGATGCTCCCCTTCTGCCAGGCCTCAGAGACCCTGTTCTCCATCACCACCAGGGCCCCCTTCTCCTGACAATCAGCCATGTCAATAGAAGGCTAAACAGAAACCGTGGTCCCCGACATGGCCTTGGGGGAAGGAGGGGCGCCGTCACCCCCACCAGCCAGCTCCTCCTGCAGATTCCATCAGAGAAATAAGAGGTCGGGGATCAGAGACACAATGCTCCCCATTCAGGTGAGCCAAGCTGCCCCAGGCTCACAGCTGCCGCTGCTGCAGGGAGATTTATGACCTGCTCTAAATGTCACCTTTTCAACTCCCCGCGCTGGCTCCGCCACCTTTGGACTCAGCACGGGCTGGACTGCTGGCCAAGCATGGCTGGGGAGACGTGCCGTTGCTCACCACCACACACGAACACTCCCAGGGAAAGGGCCCTCGTCGAGCCAGAAGAGAGGGCGTGGGTGCCCGGCACCCCTACCTGCAGTCTGCGATGAGCTCGTCCATCAGCTGAGCCACCAGGGTGTCCACGTCCTCAGTGGAGCACTGCGCCTTCAGGGCCAGGTGGACTTGCTCCAGGCTGGCTTCCTGGGGAACAAGCAGGCAAGGGTCAGGACCGGCACCGCAGGGCAGAAGGGACACGGCAGACCCCCAGTTCCCAGGCCTTGGCATCACTCCGAGTCCCTGAACTAAAACAGTTAGGCAGAGCCCAGATCCGGCAAACCAGTATCTGTCCTGTCTCAAGGACGTTCCCGGGATCCCCACACCAAACATCCAAATTCGAAGCCCGGGACCCCAACCTTGCATGTGGTCACGAGTTCAAGTGCTGTGTGCAGGCTTCAGCAGAACTGGATTGCATCTGCTGCTCATGGGCCTCTTCAAGCCAGACCTGCCATCTCGCAGGTCAGTGACCTCTGAGTCCCTCTAGTTCCCTACCTGGAAACTAGTACTCTAGCTCTCTCCCTCCCGAATCCTACCCGCCAGCAGGCTTGGGTCATATCCTCCCTACGGAAGCCTTCAGAAAACCTCCAGTAACAGAGTTCCCTCGACAAACTCCCATGGCCAGGTCACAGCCAGGGTTCATCTGGTCTGCTTCATGGAGCACTACCCCGTCATTTCCACGGGCCTCTGTCCTGAGCTGGGAGGCAGAGATCTCTCACAGAATACCTGTCAGGACAAGGACTGTCCCCCACACTCCTCTCCACTTGAAAGCCTTCCTGAGCATGTGCTCCACCCTGGGACCACCAGTCTGGGGATAGGCCCTGGAAAGAACACACAGTCCCCACCCTCAGGCTCTGTCCTATGAGAGGATAGCTGACCCGGACAACGGGGCCTGGACTCAAAGAACATCGAATCCAAGTGCTCCTGTACCTCAGAGTTTGCCGGTCTCAGGAAGGCATGGCTACCTCAGCAGCCCACCTGGGCCTGTACCCCTCCCAGCCACTCCGAGACCCCAGTCAGCCCCTTCCCCTTCCACCTTCCCTCCTCACCCACACACGCACTAGCTCAGCACCTCCCAGGCTCGGTTTCACTTATTCCCTGCGACTGCCCAGGAGGCAGAGAAAGACAGCCCATTTGACAGGTGAAGAAATTCAGGCTCTAAGAGGTCAGGAACTGGGTTTTTCTGACTCCAAATACATGTTTCTAACCACTGCCCCAGGGGTTCTCAAAGTGTGGTCCCTGGAGCAACAGCAGCTGCATCACCTAGGAACTTGAGGGAAATGCAAAATCTCAGGCACCACCCCGGCCACGGCCATGTGGGATCAGGGAGCGCCTGTAATAACCTGTTTCAGCGAGCCCTTCAGGGAATTCCGATGTACACTTACATCCAAGGAAGACCCTCTCCAGGTTCCCATACAGTCAATAGCACCTGCTTGGCCTTACCTCTCCCAGCCCCAAGACAATCTGTGCTGAGAGTTCTGGGGTCAATCTGGGCTATGATTTTGGGGGGCAGTCTTTGACTAGCCTGACGGATAGTCCACGGCCACTGTGAGGGTTAGGTCTGTGGCTCAGTAACACAGTTTCCCCAGGTAGCTGGCCACACACCCAAGACCCTGCTTGGGGACTGACTCTCAGGGACCAACATTCCCAGCTGCCCTCCCCTCCTGAGCATCCCTCCCACCTCCTGGACCTCTGTCTTCCCTTCAACAGCTCAGCCCTCCAGTAGCCCCTCGCAGGCTCTGCCCTTCTCTGCATACTCCTCTGGGGAGATCCTACCTGTCATCCCCACCCACTCCCTGGGGTTCTCACACGGCTCTGGTCAGAGTGGGCAGCAGCTGGTCTGCCTGTGACATATGAGTGGACCTTTGTCCTTATTCTGGGCAAATCCATGCCCTGCTTGGTTGCCTGGGAAACCGAGTGGATGAGTCTGATCTGAAGAAGGAGGTGCAGGTGGGGAAAGGGTGCCCCTGAGGACAAACTGGAGGCTCTTCTCTTTTCTCTGATTAGATACGACAATGCTCAGAGGAACTATACATGCAGCCTCCTCAGGCTTGGGGCTTGGAGGCATCTAGGAATGCAGGGACAGACAGGCACTGGTTGGTAGGGAGAAGCAGCTGGGTCCTGGGGAAGCAGGCCCTAGCACTGGACCTAGCACCAGACATCCTGGATTCTGGCCCCAGCTCTGTGTCTGACATACTTTGGCAGCATTTATTATACATACTTGGGAACATTTATTGAGCACCTACTACATGCCAGGCTTGGCGCTGGGCCCCTTAACACCCACTATCCCCTTGCATCCTCTCTCTTCTTTCTATGAATGAGAACATTGAGGCTCAGAGAGGTTAAGTTACCTGCCCAAGGTCACCCAGCAATGGAGCCAGGGTTGGATCATGGTCCAGACAGTCCCCATGTCCCTGCCAGTTCTAATATTCCAGGCAGGAAGGAAGATGCCTCGCAGGGTTAGCTACCTCATCTGCCAGGGCACGAAGACGCTGGAGCCAGTCCTCAGCCTGCTCTAAGATGGCAGAGAACTCGCAGTGGCCAAGCTTCAGGGTCAAGGCTGCCTCGGTGATCTGGCTCAGGTGACGGGTACGCAGCTTGTACAGGTACTGGTCCAGGTGGGTGGCAGAGGGTATCTCTTGGACGTCGCCCAGGGACTGGCTATAAGAGACAGACAGATGAGATGTGCCTGATAAGCAGGGGTCCAGTGCACAGCCAAGTCCAGACGTGTCTGTGCACAGGCTCCCACAACAGGTCACACACCCTCAGCCTGCCTGCCCGGCACTCCATGTGTCCTGGGTAAATTCTCCAGCCTGACCCACATGCATAGTCATCTCTATATGACCTGCTCCATCCTCACCTCCTCCAGGAAGCCTTCTCCAACCACACTGGCCCACTTGCCTCTGAAGTTCCCAGGCGGGTCCCTCCCTGCCCCCTGCATCCACCTAGAGCAGAGACTAGAGCACTAAGTTGCCTTTGGCTGAAACAAATCCATTCTGTTGTACGCACACTTTCTTCAAGAAGGAAATTTATGGACCCCTGACAAGCCACTGCAGACGCTGTGGGGAGGCCGGCAGCCAGCAATACAGATGTGTCGACTTGGTCGGCCCCACAACACCCCTCCCAGAACCCTCTGTTCGAGAAGCCTTTGGAGACGAGGTAGGAAGGGGGGACATGCAGTCCCAGAAACACAGGCCTAGACCCCAAGTTTGGGGTTGGGTTTAAACTCCGTCCTGTTTGGAGGCAAAAAACTGTGACCCCCCATCCCACTGGGCTCCCGAAAAGCCCTTCGTATGGCTCCTGCTCACCATACCAAGCCTCCGGGGTCAGTCAGTACACACGCAAGGATCCTGCGGGATGGGTGGGGAGGGGGAGGTGTGTGCCCTCCCTCGCCAAGCAGAACCCCTCTAGACTACCCGTGCTTGAAGGTGTGGGGGCCTGCCCCACCTCCGCTGAGCCCTTGACTCCCCAGCAGGACATCAGTCAAACCCACTCCGCCAGTTCTGCTCCCACCACTTGCAGCACCCCCCACCTCATGCTCCCCTCCCCGCAGCGTCTCGACTCCGGCTCCCGGCTGATTTATTTTTCTGCCAATTTCCCCGAGCTATGCAGAACCAATTACCGCCGGAGCGCAGCGGCACCGCCGCCGCCAGATACACCACTCTGGCAGGCCCTCGGCGCACTACATTTTTCCTGTTATTTTTTTTAATTGAATTTTTAGGGTGGGGGGAGCAGTACGCAAACTCCATCTCAGGAAACTTAAGCCCCGGGACCTGTCTCAGGTCACGTACTGCACACCCTGTAGTAATATAATATTTACTGCCCCGATGGGG